AATGACTCCACAGGAAATAGGTTTTGGTGACTATGCAATGTGTCATTAGCCCTCCGGTGAGAAAACGCAGGATTTAGTTCCATGATGAACACGTGTGTTCTGGGTTTCATCCGTGGGTTAGATTAACACTCGCCTTGCAAAGCGACCGGCAGCAACAACAAAAGTTTGCAGGGCTTTGTCATTAGCCCTGTTTGCATTCTCCAAAGCAAACTGACAGTCTCCTGATGCAGTACATTAAAAATCCTCAGCGGTATTGACTGCCTGAAGCCGATGCTTCCCCGTTAAATACAGCACAGCTCAATTAACAGCTCTTCAATATACAATTTAATTTTTCTTTCATCTTGATCCACAGCCTGGCTCAAAATGAGGAATGCTAGAATAGATGTACTTTGAATATTGAAGCAAGTCTTTAGAAATAAACCTATCACCCTTGTAATGATTTCTGTCATAACATGACAAAATAGATGAAGCTCAGCGTCTGGAACTTCAGCTCACACGTCATTTTTCCAACATCACCAGAACCTAGGGTTTTTGTTGGGTGGGTTTTATTTACTTATTTATTTATTTTTGGCTTTTCTTTAATACTGGTTCCTGGTTATCTCTGAATGTCATTCTGCTGTTTGAGAAAAGTTTATCCTTTTTTTTCCTTCCCTTTTCCTGTGTGGCAATTCTTCAGAAAGAATGAAGAAAATTACTATTCCACTACTTACATGTAAGGAAAGGCATGTAACTTATAAATGAATTATGAAGGTCTTACCCTTGGAAAGACATACATATTTCATCATAAATGTGATCCACAACACTTACTCCACATACAGTATTTATATTTATACATGATTATTCAAGGTTTTTTTAATCTCAGCAAGCCCATACTTTCAGAAGCAAATCCAACATTCTCCTTTAACCTGTTAAGGCACAAAATAGAATGTACGAAAGGTACCCCCAATTGACCCCACATATATACTCTCTCTCTGGATGGAAGGCATTAGATTTACAAAGCATACTGTACATCAAGTGATTTCTCAAAGGTATACAATCCACTGTTCAAATAGCTCCATGTGCTTGCTGTTTGTCAAAGACAACGATGTTTCACTTTGGACCAGAGACAATTTCTTACGTTTAAACATGTTCATAAAAACACACTTGACGGCAGTTAATGCCTTGAATGGAAGAGCGTAGCACTGACGTGGATTTCTGACAGTCTGTTTGAGCTAGATGAGGGAGGAGCAGGGCCCTCTCTCCCTAAGTGGCTAGGGTATCAGGGGACACAGGCTAAAACCCATCCGCTTTCTGATCAAATCATTCCAGCTGGTCTTTTCAGGCTGCAGAGGAAGCTTCGTTGCCGAGTTGAGATCTTGAGTACTGTCACAATCACATCATGTTGACAAATGTGAACTTATTTAAAATTTACTGATTTTTATCCCATTATATTTGATGTTCACATTATAATTTATAACTGATTTTAAAAATTCAAAATGCATTTCATATTTTTCAACTCATTCACTGCCTATTTAGCATGAAATAGAAATTGCACATAAACATGCACAGATATAAATATATACACACACAAGTACAACCATTCAAAATGACAAAACTACCCATATTTTAAACATACCCCCTCCATTCTTATTCTTCTTTCCCCGATGCTATACTGCTACTTACATAATGTGGAGGGAACTAAACAAAAGCTATGAGACTTTTTAATTGTCAGAGATAGAGCACTTAGAATTTATAGTAATTAACTAGTCATTATTTCAAATAAGAACATTAATTGGTATGTTCAGAAAATCTGCAGCATTGCAAAATTTAAAATAAACATTACAAAGATATCATTTACAACTAATCTATATTTACCATTGAAGTGAGCTTCAAACTATATTTCTTTCTATTATGCTTTTATTGGCTACAGCACACAGTAAATGGGGTGTGTTATGCACAGCTTCCTAAACACCTAAATTTATAAAACCCAATTACATAAATTAATTAGGAATGAACGCATACATTTATGCCTTTGTTTGCAACTGCAACATATTAAACATGACAAAATTAATAAGTAGACCCTAAAAGAAAAAATAGTGCCATGTATTCATTTTCCATAACAGATTTTATGAGATTTAATTTGACTTATCTAGTCCTAAGGGTCATGATTCTTAATAAATACGTGTTTTCTCTGCCATTTCATATATATGTAAGGGTATGTTTCTATGGTTCCTAAAGGACCAAGAATGTATAAATTCAAGAGCATTTATCCCAAGATCCACAGACAGAAGGGCAAAGAATTATTCAAATGTTATTTCTGTCTTGCTTATCTCCTAGCCTGTTATCAAAGACAGGCTTTTGGTAATTAGAGTGATTCGCCATCACCTAGCTTATCATAGAAAACATCCATTAAAACAAGCTTAGCCTTAGCTCCATGGAGGAATAAAACATTGATATATGACCAGGCAGGTCACAGGAACACGGCTGGAAACAAATGTAAATTTTTTAATGCAAAAAAATCAGTACCCCCCCAACACCTTTCTAATATGTTTAAAATAAACTAAATAGTTTTACAGCATTGTTATTCAGAAGGATCATTTCTTGCATGGCAAAAGCTAAACATAGTCTAATTTTAAAAAGAGGTAAAAGTAAAAAGATCTGAAATGAGATCATCTCTCCTCTTGCCCCTAATCAATGCATATTCCGAACAGTCTCATTCATACACGCCTGCAAGATTGCCAGGTTCAGAAATGCCACCTGGCAGGAATGTGTGTTCAAGTGCACAGTTTCATGCCCTGGTTTAAGAGTTCTGGTTAGGAGAAAAGCAGTGATGTTGTAAAAGCAAACCTTGTTCCAGGTTTCTGTTCCCATTACAGCTCCTGGGAAACAAATGAGATTCTTCAGGTCACAGACCACTTCAGTGGGTCATACACTGCCCCAGGCTCCCTACTCTACCTGCCCTTGCTTTCCTAAAGTAAAAGAGAAGCCTTCACCAGAATAAATAAGAATGCAGAGTTCCTTGTATCACCACACAAGGTGACACATGGTCTATCTTAAACAAAAGGGCCTGACTTAATCTTTATAATGCAAGATCCTCTTGCCTGTGGGACATTCACAGTGGAAGGAGGCAGCAGCCGGCAGCATGGTTCATAGCCTTACATCAGGCCTGAGACCACACTGCTCCATGTGGCTTCCCTGCAGGTGCCTCCAACTCAGCAGGACCCAAATCAATGCATTTCTCTTCCCCAATACTTCTTCCTTTTCCTCCCCACCTTGTGCTCCATAGCTCTGTGAAAGGTGCAGCAATCCAAGCATCACCCTGGATGCATCCTATACCTCTTCCCCATCTCACTGCCTACCTCAACACCCACTTGTGTCATCTCTCCAAGTCATTCATTCTTCTCCATCTACATTGCTGCTGCCTCCCTACAAACCCTCAATGTCTTCTGCAGAAATAACTACAAGAGACTCCTGTACCAAACCTCCAAATGGGGTCAGAACCAACTTCCCAAATGCTCGCCTGAGCAAGGAAAAGCCGCCCTCCCTCTTGCCCTCAGTATGAAGACCAAACACCTTACTTAGCAAGGTCCAAAAGGCTGTCTGTGCTCTCCCCAACTTGCCATCTGCCTTCATCTCTCACCAAACCTCCATTCTTTCCCTACGCTCCAGCCGTCCTGAAGATCCATGACCTTCCCAAATGTACCTCTGCTCCCTCCTGTCTGCAGATATTTATGTGGCAGAGCACTCTGACTACAATGTCCTTCTTCCCTTTTCTTCTTTGCCAATTCCTCATAATCTTGAAACTTCAAGCCAAAACCACCTTCCCTAGCAAATCCTTTCTGACTCCCCATCCCACCAAGAAACTGGGTTAGATCCTGCGGTTTCAAATAGGTCCACAAACACTTTGACCATCTTCCCCTCAAAAGGTGGAGCCTAATTCCTCATCTCTTTAGGGTGGGCTAATTCAATTTTAATAAACTGAATGTGGCAGAAGCAAAAGTGACTTCAGGGCCAGGGCATAAATAGCACTGTAGCTTCCACTTGGCTAACTCACCTTTGGATCCCTAGTTCAGGAAAAACCCCACTGCTGTGTTGTAAGGACCCTATAGCAGGTTCAGAAATGCCACCTGGCAGGAATGTGTGTTCAAGCGCATAGTGTGTGCAAGCGCACCTATGTAAATGTCCATGCGGTAAGGAATTGAGTCCTCCTGCTAACATCCAGTGAGAAACTGAGACCTCCAATCAACAGCCATGTGAGAGCATCATCTTGTAGTTGGGTCCTTCAGCCCCTGTCAAGCCTTCAGATGATGACAGTCTTGGCTAACATCTTCAATACAACCTCATGAGACAGCATGCGCCAGAACCACCTAGGAAAGCCACGTCTCAATTCCTGACCCACAGAAACTTTGTGATAAACGTGTACTTTTGGGATAATTTGGTATGCAGGAATAGGAGCTCTATGTGTGCTTCCACAGCACCCTGCATGTCCCTCTGTAGCACTAGTACCCAGTACAGTCCCTGGTGTACTGTTGGCACTGGATACATTTGAAGGATACACAGATAGATGGCTGAATGAACTAATTCATGAACACAAGAACCAACATCATGGCAACTATAGATACAAAATATTCTAGCACTAACTATATGGATGCTGTGTTATATGGATGCTGTTAAGATGTACAAGTTTTTGTGTGGACATCTGTTTTCAATTCTCTTGGGTATATACAAAGGGGTAAAATCATTGAGTCATATGATGACTCTCTGCTTAATTTTGTGAGGAACTTCCAAATTATTCTCCAAAGTGGCTGGACCATTTTAAACTCCCACCAGCAGTTGTATAAGGGTTCCAATTTCTCCATATCCTCACTAACATTTGTTATTATACTCTTTTTTCATTATAGCAATCCTATTGGGTATGAAGCAGTATGTCATGGTGGTTTTGCCATCCATGTTCTTAAGGGGAAAAAAAACATGAGTGGCATATATAGATATATCTATTTTATTAAGGCTAAAGAGGCTCTGAAAACAAGACACCAAAAAAAAAAAAAAAAAAAACTATTCTGCTTCTCATTGAAGTCACAAATATTACCAAAAAAAAGAAGTAAGAAAGAGAATACCCAGTGTTGACCAAGGTGTAACAAGACAAACCCACTTAGATAATGCTAGTGAAAAAACTACCCAATCTAGCTCAGGAAAATATTTGGCAATATAAATCAGAGACATGAAAACTATGTACACACTTGACACAATTTCTAAAATTCTATCCTACCAAAATAATCACATATGTAACAATTTATGTAGAAGGATAGTCATCAAAGTGCTATGTTAAAAATGGGAAAAGAACATAAATATCTAACAAAAAGAAAGAATTCAATAAATTGTGGCAGAGTATGTCCATGTGGGTATTAAGAACATTACATTTTAAGAAAGTGAGAAAATGCTCATAAAATAGTTAAGTTATAAAAATGAGCAATGGACATTACCAGTAGACAATGCAGAATTAAGCCTGATTTCACCATTTATTAACCCTCTGACCCTAGGAAAATTACTTAAACTTTCTCTGCCTGTGTTTCCTCATCTGCAAATGAGGATAATAAGGAATATATCCCAAGGAGACACTAGGAGGATTAAATTTTTTAATTCATATAAAACATTCAATTTTCAGTCAGTGGGAGGAATTATTGGTTATTATCATTATCTTGATTTTGTAACACAGAAAAGACTGAAAAGGTCTGAAACCCTATTCTGCCACTTTTTAGTTGTATGACCGTGGACATATACCTTAAACATTCATAGCTCTGTCTGACTCATCTACCATATAGCAATAATTGTCGCTATATTCAAAACATTGTCCTGCAGGTAAGAGAAGACACCTAGTCGAGTACTCTGCTTGAGAGGTATTCAACAATGACTCTCATAATTATTAATGGTATTCACATAAACTTATTACCAAGAATCCCCCTTGGTCTTAAGCCACAAGTAAAATAAAAAGAGGGGAAAATTCTAAATTTTTGAGTAAAACAACAAAGATCAGAATATTTAGGCAGCTCCCCAGTCCTAATCCAGAGTAACAGAACAGCATCAACCTCCAAACTTGCCTTTTTCCCATCTCTTTAAGAAAAAGACCAAAAAGGGGGCAACATTTGAAGTTCCTAATCTTATAACCCCTAAAATCCCAAGATATAATACTTTGCCCTTTTTTCTTACACTTCTCCTCTTCCATTCTAACTGTTGTTGTTTTGTTTTAATAACTAAAATACTCTTGCTGTTGATTTTACGTAAGTAGAAAATATATTTTTCAATGACAGGCTCATTTCCAAAATTATTTACCTTCATTTTGGATTGATATCCTTGCACTGCTAATAACTTCAAGGACTTTAGCATAGCTATTGTCACATCATCCTCTCTGCCGCAAACCCCTGGGATGATTCCCCATTTCCTAACAAAAAAAATTCCAAACCCCTTAGCATGGACATTCTAGATCCTATAAAGAGTTCACGTTTTCCTTCATAAACCTTCATCCAAATGGACTCAAAGTATTTATTACACAACCTAACAAATTTCCCTTCCCCATTAAAACATATTTCCCTTCCAAATGAACCTACTTATCACTAATCTCGCTTAACATGAATTCACCCCACAACAGCATGAATCAGTGCTTCATAGTTTGCCATGTGCACTTCCCCAGCCTTCTCCTCTGGGACCTCGAAACCACAGCAGGATAGACAAAGGTGGTTGTCTTGATTTTGCAGTGAGTCCAAGAGAAGCACAGCAAAGTGAACACTGCAGTGTTCTCACTCAGTTTCTCGCATGTCTCCAGGGCTCTTTCTTCCCCCGCTGCAACCTGTATGGCCTTTCTAAAGATACCAGTTCAAGGACAGGTTGAGATAGGGATATGGCTGTGTTATTTTGGGGTTTTTAATTTTCCTGCCAGGATGCTGAGAGGCCTAATTCTACTCCCCTTGCTTCTATGTTTGGCAGACAGCCTGTGTAGGAAGTGGCACTCCAGAAACATGTTTTACTTAGTATTTTCTGTTTTGACCCTCTCAACATCAGTTATAGTGCTGAGAACAAAATAATTGCTCATTTATTCACCTACTATGTTCCAGAAGCTATTCCAGGAATTCAGCTGTAAACACAACAAATGCCTTTTCTTCATGAAGCATTTAAAGGGGAAAAAAATAACAAAAACAAAACCAGTAAACCAATAAACAGCAAATATAATGAGAAGTTAGGCTAATTTTTAAAGGAGGGAACACAGTACAGAGATTTAAAAAAAAGGGGGGAGGGGTGAATGGCCAAAATGCTGTAATCCCAGCATTTTGGGAGGCCGAGGCAAGAGGATCACTTGATGCCAGCAGTTCAAAACCAGCCTGGGCAACACAGCTAGACCCTGTCTTTACGGAAAAAGATAATAGAGAAAGAAAATTGTGGGACACTGTTTTAGATAGGGTATAAATATTGTTGACAAATGAATTAATTCCAACTTCTTGTATTCCAGCCAAATTAAATATCTTTCCCAAAGAAATCTTATTTTTAAAATGTTAAAAACCAAAATACATGCAGTTATGAAAAACATTCCCCAAACAGAAAGCTGATCTGACAAACAGATCAACAACTAAGTCAATAAATTTCATGGTTAAAACCAAGGTCTAGATGGCTTCTTTGAGACTCAGTTCTTGAAAACTTGATAAACTTAGTTATGTTCCAACAACTCAAGGCTTCAGATAAACAAAGTCCATATCCATGGAGTTTAAAGAACTTGACCAACTAAATCCCTGGAAAAAGAAATAGAGGGATGATGCATGACTGGGGGAAACACCTTGCCTTCCTTCCCACTGAGGCCTTGACACCATGTGGTCATGGTGTATAGCACCAGGACTGACGACTCTACTAGGCCAGCAACCTCAGCTTGGCCTGGAAAAGAAAACTGGGCACCTGGTGTGCCCAAGATAGCCTGGTTAGGCCTGCCAACCAGGAGTCACCCAGGTTTGGGGGGAGTCCAGGAGCCTTGTCAAAAGTGGTCCCTTATCAGGTTTTTAACCACACTGCAAGGCCAGGATAGAAGGAGCTAATGAAAATTGGGGAAATGAAAGAGCAGGTTACAAGTGGAGAGTTTGAAGAGGAAAAATCAAAAGCAAAATGAAGGCTAAAAAAAGGAAATAAAATGCCCAGTGAAGGGATTTTAGGGGCTGGGAAAAGTGGTACAGATGAGCTTAAGAGTGACTCAAAAATAACCCATAAACACAGCCTGGCAGGCATGGCTGAGCTAGGACGCTCTTCCAAAAGAGACCAAATTGTTTTTAGAAAAGTATTAATACCTACTTTTCCCTCTTACATTTTTTCCAACCTGCTATAAACTTGTTTGGCTTTGCCAAACATATTTCACTTTATGTCTTAGCTATCAAGAGTTTGGACTCAGGATACAGTCTTAGACTAATCAATCCCAAATCATTAATACATTCTCATCATTCCTTCTCATGCCTTCAATATTCTTATGAGTTTAATAAATTTTCCTTATGCCCTCAGCCTTTTCCACATTCCCCACATTATGATGTTATATTAATTTGCCTTCTCAAAACATAATTGTCTTAACAGGCAAACATTTTGGTTCTTAGTTGAAATTCCTTCCCTACCTCAGTGATCACAGAAGGGAAGAGAATAGACTGGTGCATTAATTAGTACATTTTAACACCTTATGATAAAAACATTTATCTGGATCTGTTTGGGTGTTTCCAAATGGTACAGTCACCTCTATCTGGGTTGGATTAATATGGGCATAATTAAAAACCAGAAATGATCATACTGTTTTCAGCCCAATTTTCCTTATAACTGCTTCCATGAGAGTGAAGGATAAGTATTAACATGTTTGCCTTTTAATTGTAAGCTTTCTTCTATTTACTGTCCCCCATATACTCACACCCACTTGCAAATGAAATGGAATGAATTTTTAACTTCATGAATTGAATTTGGGAGTGATGCTTGTTTTCCCCTGCAGCACAATGGATCATGAATGCACACATGCAAAGTGTTCCAATCTAAAGTACAGTGTCACAACTGAGGGGACAGGCCGCAGTGGAACACAGTGATGCTTTACACAAACAGACAGGCTCACCTTGGGCAAAGGCCACCATGTTTTAAAATTAATCAGACCCTTACAGATAACAAAAATTCCCTAGGGCTTAAGACACGAAGTCAGATCTCCTAGCATGTGGATTAACTGTGAAAAAACACTTGGTCACCTGAGAAGCCAAGTGCCCCAGAATGTGAGCACTGTAACAATGACAGTAATGAAAATGTAACACTCTAAGATGGAATCATGGATGCTCTGCTAAGCACCAGGGCATCCTGAACCCTCACAATAGCACTTCAAGGCAGATAGATACTGATACCACATTCTACACGGTGGGAAAGTGAGGCTCAGAGAGATCAGGTGTCTAGAGCAAACCTTTGTTTTTATTCCTTTTCTGTCTTTCCCTTCCTCTCTCCCTCCCTCCTTACCTTTCTTATTGTTGTGAGAGTGAATGTTGCAACCTTTATAGATAGTCACTTAAACATGTGCCAGCAGGGTGAGAAGAACAAAACCAAACCCAGACAACTCAGCAGTGAGTCCCATGAAGCAGAGAAAGTGGAAATTAAAAAGCTAGGGAGGGATTTTCAAGATGGCTACTATGGTCAGCAGCTGAGGCAACAATCAGCAAACACTACCGGGCTATCTTCACAGTTCTACCTCTGACTCTATGTCTGGCCTTAGGAATCTCCTGGTGACACTTAGTAACTTAAAGGAGGAGATATGAAAAATGCATTATTTGTTTCCTTCCTTGCCATCCCCGCAGGTTTAAAAAGAAAATTAGGTTGTACACTGGCTACCAGTGACTTCTATTGAAGCTACTACCATTGTGGATCCAGACAAAATTCTATTTCCTACTAAGAAATGGCTCTTCTTGCGTAAGTTAGTGTTTTCCCTCATACCATCCATCATCCCATCCAACAGCCTGCTTAGTCGGTCAATGACTCATTGACAGTGAAATCTACAGACATAAATGCCATCAGCTACTGATTTCAGACAAGAGAGAAGACAGACCTTGGAGTCTGGAACATGGCCTGAACAAGACACTGCCAGATGTGATTTTGAGGAGGATGACCCAAATAAATAAAATAAGAAATGAAAAAGGAGATGTTACAATTGATACCACAAAAATACAAAGGCTCATTAGAGACTTTTGGGGGGGAGGAGAACAACAGGTATACATGAGACACACAAGTGAATAAAAGAAGTATCAGGTGAGTAGCACTAAGGAGATTCAGAACCTGTACCCCTTAAGCCTCTACTGAGCGAATGTCATGCCATGATGCTATTAAATAGCAACTAGCAGAGTATAAACAAAGGTAGAACCCAAGTTCACTGCAGAGTGTAAGGGTCATGACACCAGACCCCTAGAGAAGGAAATATAACACAGGCAGATTAGTTGGATAAGACATTTTTAGATGGCCATAATGATGAACATAGCCATTGTTTCTCATCTTTTAGAATTAATCCATAATAATGCACAGGAAATTTAATCATGGCTACAGAATGAAATGTAAATGTTATTACCCATAACAAAATAGCCATAAAAGTAGCAAAAGTTAGTGGTTTTAAGGGAAAAGAAGAGGTAGAGGGACTCGTCAGGACACCAACAACCTCTTCATACAAGGGAGAGTGTCCAGGACACTGTCCACAGTAATTTGAGCCAAACAGAAACACACATACATAGCTTATTGATTCGCACATGTGTGTGAGTGCACATATATATATGTATATACATATATATATATTTTACGTATTTACATATAGAAAATACACAAAATCTGAAGTTGCAAACATAACGGGAGGAAGGAGATGTGACTATTGAAGGTGGTGTCAATGAACTAAATCCACATCCACGACAGCAAAAGTCATTAGACAGCACCTGAAATTGACAGATGAAGAAGTAGCAGCTTACACACACTATTAAGACATAGGAAGCAGCCACCTGAGCATCAAAAACAAACTGTTCAGAGAGGTTGCATTTGTTCATCCAGAAAAGCACACTCCAGAGTCTGTGATCAATCAGTATTTGCTGAATGAACAGATGAGTGGACAAAAGTGGAAGGTAAGAAGGGCAAGGTGAGAGGCTATTGCTGGCTAAGGTTCATCCTTTGGAATGTTTGTTCCTAATGATTGCAAATATTACCTCGTGTATGTTGGGAGGGGTGGTGTTGTTTGGGGTGTTGTTATTTGTTCTAGTTCCTCTGGTCCTGGAGAGGTGGCCTGTTTTGAATGGTGAGGATGGCCCACATGAAAATGTGAGATGAGGGGATCAGTCCTGAAGCAGCAGTGGCTGCAGTGCCTGGTTAGCCTGGGTGGAGACCGCAGAGCCACTTGCCTCAGGAGGGAATCACCTGCAGGGGGACAAAATGACCTACCAAACTGCTGCCAGGGGATACTGTAACTTCTGGGTTAAACTCAAGTTTTAGGCAATAGGACTGAAAACTGCCTTTTGCTCCACCATAACTACAAGTGTGTAGAGAAAACAAAAGAAAAGGTATAAAATTAAGGAAAGAAAAGAAAAACCACCAGTATGGGGGAAGGAGGAGAAACATAGGACCTTTTCAGTTTGCAACGTACAGTTAAAACATTGGAACTCTGTTTTCAAATTCTGCTTCTGCCAAGGGCTCAGCAGTGTGGCCTCGGGCAAGTAGATTACTTCTTTGCCCGTCAATGTGTCTCACTTACACTGCCATCTCCCTCATTTGTCAAATGGAGACAGTGACATCCCTTTCATAGAGTTATTAAAGGATTAAATCAAATAATGCCTGTAAACATTTGGCATGTGGTAGAAGCTCAAGTGTCATTTTCCTTCTGCCCCTCTCCTTGGGATGAATGCTGAAGAACACATAGCCCTCCACCACAAAATGAGTTTATTCATAGATATTTTCTAAATGGAAAGGACAAATGTTTCATGGTAACATGTATTAAGCTCAGGTTCAAACTAACTGCAATGCCTATGGAAAACATTTTTTTTTTTTGAGACAGAGTCTCACTGTGTTGCCCAGGCTAGAGTGAGTGCCGTGGTGTCAGCCTAGCTCACAGCAACCTCAAACTCCTAGGCTCAAGTAATCCTTCTGCCTCAGCCTCTCAAGTAGCTGGGACTACAGGCATGCGCCACCATGCCCAGCTAATTTTTTTGTGTGTATATATTTTTAGTTGGTCGATTAATTTCTTTCTATTTTTAGTAGAGACAGGGTCTCACTCAGGCTGGTTTCGAACTCCTGACCTTGAACGATCTGCCCACCTCGGCCTCCCAGAGAGCTAGGATTACAGGCGTGAGCCAGCGCGCCTGGCCTGGAAAACATTTTTTAAATCCCAAAGACATTTTGGTATAAAATTAAAAAAAAAAAAAAATTACAAAATATAAAGCTCAACCAGTAATTAGCTGAATTTAAAAAAAAAAAAATCATTTTATATATGTTATACCTAATCTGGGTGGGAGACTAATTTATGGCATCACCCAAAAGATGTGCTTATGTTGAGGCTGAGCGACATATCACTTTAGGAACTGGGGTTCCAGCTCTGCCACCTGACAGCTGAGAGAGCCTGGCCAAGTTTCTTCATGTCTCTGAGCCTTAGTTTCCTTTCTATAAAAAGGAGATGACATCACAGATGGCGCAGAGGTATCAAAGAATGAGGGATAATGGAAGTCAACTGCCAGATACGATGCCCGGCACAGACAGAGCTGGCTCTCAACTTACACTAACTGCTATTATTTGTAATGTAGTATCACCTTCTCTGCATCTTTGAAACTACATATTAGGCGAGCAATTTTCTCTTCCATGTGGGAAGGATTTCACTAGGAAACAAGAAGGCTCAGAATCATGTTTTGCTCTCACTTAAAATGCTCAAACCAGGCAGCAGTCAGTGGGGGTGATAAAATTGCCTTGTGGATCTTACCATGACTTTTGTCCAAAATGATCAGAGAGTACATTAAATCATTAGCAGAAACTTTGCTGCCTGCTGATTTTACAATGCAGGCAATGAAATTCATTGCAGAAGCAAAATAGGGCCAATAATATAATTACAGCGCTCTGCCTATGCAGTCAGAGCTAATGCTATTATTTGACATTGCAAGGCTGTGCTTTTCCCCAGAGCCTCGGTGGAGACAAGGTTCGCCCTAATTGGTTCCAAAGCACAACCTCCCCACCACAATCTTTCCTAAGGACCAGTAATGTTAATTTCCACACGACTGTAAATAGTATTTGCAAACAATACAAACATGGTAATAAGAGGCTAGGTGGGTAATTAATGTGGTTACAAAGTAGCTTATTTGCATTTTTATTTAAAAACGGCCTTCTTTAAAAAGCAGCTCAGATTTCTCTTTGCAAAAGGAGCCTTGGTTAAAGAGTATAGCAGTAATTACTCTCTTTAGGGGTTCTTTTATATGTCCTTCAGGGAATTAGAATGAAAAGATAAGCAGAATTATAAAGGAAATCATGTAAAATATGAAATGTACTATAAACACTTAGTAGAGTATTTACCATAAGCTAGGCTTACCTTCCTCATTAATGGAATATTTTAACCTGCTTACAATACATTCAAATTAATTGTAGATATGGCTAAAAGGTACAATCATCTAGTTAAACTTTTTTTTCTTGAAAGGTATGTTATTTCAACATTTGATACGCCACCACAGCAAATTCCAAATGATCATCTCCTACTGAAAAGTGTCCCCAGTAAGACAAAAGGTTAAGTGTGGCCCATCACTGAGATATGGCACAGATTTGTGCTCTTCTCTAACAAAAAGAAACCAGAATGTTAGAGCAATAATTTCATCTATCTTTTCTTAGCTTATGTCTTGCATTCCTGGGCTCAAGAAATATTAATAGGAAGTGAGAAAACAAACTTAAAAATTGATTGGGAGTGGAATTCAGTCTTTTTCATTTCTCTCCCAATCTCAATGAGTGTTAATTTCTATTTTACAAGGTGGCCATGGTGTCAGGGCCAACAGTAGCTGAGATCCCTGAATTCATTTGGAGGCCATTTAATCATCACCCACTAACTAATGGGAGGTGAACTAGAAGCTGGGTCCCAGAGGTGAAGTCACCCCTCCATTCCTAAAGAGGTTCACAGTCTTAGGGCAGAACTGTCAGGTTAATGAAGGAGCAGGTTCCAGTGGTTCTTCAGGCACTAGGAAAAGTTTCACACAGTGCATGATGCCCCAGCCGACTCCTCCAGAAGGAGAGAAAGACTGGGGTGTGAGCAACAGAAGTGAGCCTCTCCAGGCACAAGTACCAGCAGGGACCAAGGACCTGGGGTGGAATAGCTTGGCAGGTCTGGGGAACCTCAAGGGGAAGGAGGGAGGCCAGTGGGGTTCTGCTTAGCAGAAGGCACAAACAACATTACAAACTCAGATGTCAGCTAGGTTGCAAATGCATTCATTTATTCCTTCAATGGATATTTATTGAGGGCCTGCCATTGTGCCAAACCATGTTCCACATCACAACGCACTGTCTCTCCCTTATTGGGGGGAGACAGTCAAAGAAACGAGAAATAGAACACATAAGAAAATTTAATAGAATGTTAGCAGGTTCTAAGTGCTAAAGGTAAAAGAAAGAATGGGGGCGGTTTAAAAGGATCAAGAGTGAGGAAGGTTGGTGGTTAAACCAAGCAGGGGTAACACCCCAAGGAGTAGAAGACTTTACCCCCAAAAGAGCAGCTGCTGCTCAGTCCCAGTTAATTATTGCCACATCTTCCGATACTGTTCAGAGAAGCCAGCAATTTGGATTCTTGGAAGAAATCTTTTTTTAAACTAAAACAAAACAAAAGACACAAAAACCTATCACCCACTAAGCAGTTCTAATAAACCTGTCTGTAAAACATCAATTAACAAAGCTCCATGACTCAAAAGATCCATTGTTTAAAAAGATTAAGTTAAAATTTAAAAAGGTACGTCTTTACTCTCATTCACCCAGCCCTCCAAAAATTCAAACAAACAAACAAAAATCCCAAATTAGTTTTGGTGGAGTGTGCCTCTCTTCATGTAAGCATCTGTATTCATACATCCATATGGTATTGATATTTTCTCACCTCCAGCTCCTAGTAACCTCTAAACAGCCAAAACATATTTTCCATAGGATGTCTAAAGACACTTCAACTATATCACACCAGATCTAAATAAGACCAGTTACATGGTATTGTTTTGAAAATACTCACCCGGTAAAATTTATTTATACTTTAGATAGAATTCAGAGGCTGTAATGATGTTTTAAATATGATTTCAAAATACTTGAGAAAAGCAGAAAAGCAATGAAGTGGAAGAGAAGGATAATAAGTTTATGACACTCAAGTAAATATATCCAGAAAACTGGGTCATTTATAGCAGAACTGCAATCTTTTCTGTTAAAATATGCAAACGACAGTATGAAAAATGGTTTGTGATTTTAAAGAAATATAGCACTACAAATGTCAGCGTGAGAGAACTCAATAACACTTAATGAAACTTTGAGTTTCAAATTAATTACTGATTGACTAAGGCATCTAGCGGGAAAACAGCCTCGATTAGAGAAGTCTGGGACAGGCCATAAATCTGGACGCCTCTTTAGAGGACTCTGAGCTGGCATTTCATCCTCGTGCCATTAGTGCTAGGTTAATGGGGTGACTGGTCACTAGAAAGACCACTGGTTTGATTCTCAGAAATGAGACTGGTCACTATTTACCTGACTCAGATGTACCTTTCTTCCTTTTCTTTTTCCTTTTTTAAATTTTTAACAAGTGCATTTATGGTTTTAACTGCTTAGAGGTATTTGAAATAAAACCTTAAACAACTCTGTGAGGTCACATTTTACTAAAAGATAAATGCCACCCATATTAGAAAATCTTCTTTGGCCAACTGTATTCTTTGTTCACAATTATCGTTCCCTCCTTTGCCTTGCTTTTCCATAGGTAGACCAGACTTTCCTGGGGCACTGATGTTGGCCTTGGCCATGAGACTTGATATATGGGAATATGAGACAGACATGAGGCACATCAATGTCTGAACAGAAGCTCCTGTGAGCTTTTGCTCTCTGAAGGCCCTAATGACTTCTCCTGAAGCCTGGATCCTGGACTGAGAAGTCATGAGAAGCTGTCCCCAGGAAACCCCAGCTAAGACTGCCAACCAGCCACAGCCCATCTTCAGCCACAGGTGTTACAAGCAAACAAATACGCATTTGTTCTTATAAGCCCTTGAAAGTCTGGGGTTGCTTGTTACTGCAGCAAAAGCTAACACCATCCTTGCCAGTTAACTAGGAATACTTTTAACACAAAAACTCAAGTCATAGCTTTATCTTTCATGTAAGTTGCATAACTCAAAACATCCGACTATAATAGCACTACACCTATAACAAGTAAATTCTCACTTAATGGAGAACTTTTTTTGAATAGCTACTGTAGAAAAATGGACAAAGAAGAGAATATATCAACCATTCTTCTGGTTGATAAGAGCACCAAAGCTTCAAATGGTCACCAGTAAAACAACAATAGCAACAAGAAACCAGAGTGCTTATAGCATGCCAGGCATTGTTCCAAGTCTGTTATATACACTCACATATTTTCCCAACAACCCAGGGATGTGGGTCCTATTTTTATCCCTTTTATATACAAAGAAACAGCTAACATAGAACAGTTAACAAACTTGCCCAAAAAAGAAATGGATAACCTCATTCTCCATATATTATAATTCCAGGTAATGCCTCTTCAAATCTTAGCATTCTCTGTATTACACTTTCAATATATTAATAACCAAAACAGATTTAAAAAAATATTCTAAGTACAGGTATTCCATCACCCCTCAGGAAAGTTACCCCTATGATCACATATCCTATAAATTCTGAGAACCATTCTAATAATTATTCCAATTCATTTTTTTCAACATGTAGTCACGCCTCCCACTCTGCAATGCTGTTCTCAAATCCCCCCTCAGATAAGAATCTCTTCCGAGGATCAAGAACCTGCCTTGGTCTAAATCCCCACCCAAAACCTTCCCCATGTGGGAAATCTATGTTAATTCTACCAAACTGAAGCTATAAAATAGCAATCATGTATGGGGAGAAAAAGAATGAAACTCATAAAAAGGAATTAACATATTCACGTGAGATGCTATATATAACATGTACAAAATAGGTATCTGAAACTTTTTAAATGCAACCTCCTAAAATGTTGGGATCACACTGATATATTTTGGAGGCATTTTGCTCAAAGTCCAAATAAATACAGTAGAAACTCATGATGATGCTATTTGCTGTTGGCAGATATGTTTTTCTACCTTCCCATCCTGTGATCAAAGGAAGATCCCCAAGGCTCGCTGGTCCAACTCAACAGTTCACTGGTCCAAGGTGTGAGGTGGGGCTACATTCCAGCTTGCACCCTAGTCACCAGGCTGTGTGCCTGGCAGGAGGGACTAGGGGCTACTGGAAGAGGGAGTGCTTTTTCCTAACTCTCAAAAAAGGGCATGCGGCTGGTGGCCCTGGGCCTGGGAGGCTCCAGGTGCTGTGATGGGTGATGATCCAGTGACCCAATAGCACCATCTTTACTGATCTCATCTTCATCACTGGGGCTAGGAAGGGAGCCCATAAAATATATTTTATACTATAGTTTTCTCTCAAAAAGGGAGTGGAGAATGAAACAAGTAATCTTCAAACTGATATTCACCTTTGGTGTGTGGACCTTGAAGACCAGAGGTGGCAGATTCAAGTGAATGTCCCTGAGAAAGTCACATGGTTATCAGATTACTGATACCCTGGGTCCCAAAGAAACACTAACAAGTGGGGTTTGGGAGGATGATGTGAAGAGAAGTAAAGCATAGTGAACCCACGACACAGCGGGCACTCTGGTCAGCACTCCCTATGCAGTGTCAGCTCAGAGATTAACAACCTAGATCAGGTTGCACACACACTTAGAAACTGAGCCAGGTTGCAAACCAAGTGTTTTGAGTCCAATATGCTTTCCCCCTGGTGTGCCAGTGGGACTACAGTCAGCCCTTGCAAGGATGCCGGATCTGAGCCAAATCACCCAGCCTCCTCAAATGTTTGTACCATAGAACTGACTGTATCAGATATGCAGTATGGTCCTTCCAGAGCTGGCAGGGGAGACGCCAGGAGAGTAACCACCAGGCGTAGCCTTTCAAGGCCGGAGTATTAGACTAGAATGAATTGGATGCAAGTGACAAAATGAGCTCCAATACAAAGGGGGATTCATCAGCTCCATAATATTTCAAGAGCTGGGGTGAAGTTGGCCAAAGGAACTCTTTGGCTCTCTCTCTCACCTCAAGTTGACTTCACCTTTCTTACTCTGATTCCTTGTAGCAGGAAGCGTGGCTGCTGGCAGCCCCTATAAACATCCTCCAGCTCCCCACGCCTCGGGTGAGAGACTGCATCTTGTCCAGTGACTGGGGACCAGTCTAGCTTAAGCTGAGTGCCTGTCTTGGCACCAACCACTTTGGAGAGGGTGTGATGGGCCATAACTGGCCCATACCAGTTCACGTGGACTTCCATCACCACCTTCACTTCCGTAGTCCCTGAGATGGGGCTATTACAACCAAGAGTGGACAGAGCACTGGACAACACAAGGGCTGCGACAACAGGGAGCAGTATGGGGGAGCAGTGAGCTCCCAAAGAAAGGTAAGCAGGTATGGGGGCCATTGTGATGTCGGCCACTGCCTGCCTGCTGACTATTCTACCCTTTCTCTTTCTCAAAACATAGACCTCAGAGCTTTTGTCCCAATTTTATCTGCCTTGTGTGCAATAACACAGATGAACCTCATCACTTGGCTCAGAAGACAGACATGCAAAGACATGCAGACTCTCACGTCCCTCATGAACTTGCACCAATAAAAGAGAGAGCGGATATAGGAATAGCCTTTGTGTTAAATCACCAGGACAGCAAAAGTGTTGACAGCTACCAACAGGCACTAGGGAAGAGCAACCCCCTCAGGGTCGGCCTATAGCAGGCAGGGGCTCCTGGAAGGCCACCACCACACAGGTGAGCTGAAGCCCTGAAGATATTACCCATTAACCTGTCACAACTTGCCTCCTTCCCACAGCATTTGTGGGACATGCCTATTCTTGGTCCCAAAAAGCCACACCTCCTCCTGCTTCTGGCTTGGCTCAGCCATGAACCTGTGTCTTGCAACTGCATCCTCCAGATGAGCTGCCTCCTCTCAGCCACATCTTGGAACAAATACCAGCTTCAGCAAGAGGGCCAGGAACAACAGCATGACCTCATCTCTGCCTATACCTCCAAATTTCACCCTCCTGCCCCCTTACCCCACTTTCCTTCTCAGCCACTCCTCCTCTTCCCCACCCATCTCTAATAGCTTTATAGCAAACTAATCTAATCTTTACTAACATTTTGTTAGCCAAGCATGCAATCACAACAGAAGATGTGCCATACCTTGTCAAACAGGTGTCCGTTTTCTCCAGTGGTCCCAAGGAAAACCAGTGATCACATTTCAAAAGGCAAGTCCTTTCCCCCCAGTAGCCATGAAAGATCTTAACACCCACAGATCTATCAACACCCTTACATCAGCCAGAGATTTTCCATCCTGGATCATACCATCATGCCCCACAGGGTAGTGCCCACTCTGTAAAGTAACACTTGCTGTTACATTATTCCCAAGATTAGCTCCTCAAAACTTCCAAATAACAATCCTACTATTCTGGGAATTTTTCAAATAAAGCCCTATTACTCTGACCTATAGCCTTAAAATTGTATTTTTCACAGCTGAGGCAAGCAAATTATTCTATGTTCACATGAAGGCTTTTCTCTCCTCTTTGATCATTTTAACTGTATTGATTTTATATACATAGACAAGAACTAAATTTCATGAAAAATAACTAGTTGGAAAACCATAGAAAATACCTTTTAATCAACTGACTAAGAAACCAAACACTCCCAAGTTCTCATAACCCTAGTGAGGAATTACAATGAATGAAGTGACATTATATTAATTTCATTCTTGGAATGCATCCGTAACAGTTAATGGAAAGGGAAACCTTAGGAGGTCTTAATGCCTGGGAAACACCCATCATGTAACTGAAATCCCTAGAACCCACCCACATCTACCAACAAATCTGCTTAAATCCAATCATTTAAATCCTATAAAAATGAAGACTTAGAGAAAAAATAGAACGAGATGGGAAATAACAAAAAATCATCTATCTTCCATTGTTTTGTTTGTTTTATGACTTGGCTCTACACGATTTATTGTAGTTATTTAGAATTTTCTTCAACCTTGAAGCAGAGAGCTGAAATATTAAAATTCATTCACTCACTTACCCTTTCAACAAACAGGATAAGGAATGGAATTACATGACAATCATGTGAATAAAAATCAAGCTTACAAAATGTCTCCTATGTACCTCACACTATACTAAATACCATATGATGAATATCAACACAACAATTAATATGAAAGGCATATCAATGTCTAACATATCCATCAGTATCAATCTCTCCAATTTACACCTGTGGAAACTGAGGCTCAAAGCAATTAAATTAAGGGATTTGGGGGTCCATCAACACATAGAACTCTAATGGCCATTGATTTTGTGTTTGAAATTACTTATTTTGTTTGTTTTTAAAAGATTTCCAGAGTCACAACAGATCCTAAGGCAAAATATAAGCATTGCAAATAAGGGTCATTTTGTTATGGGAGGGAAAAGAAACACACTCCCAGATTCATAAAGTGAAGAACATGCTATACTTGTATATAACCTGTAGAAGTGATGACAACCCTCTTGTTTGGTTCAAGACACTTTAAACCAAGAAATACTGTGTGTACATCTAGGTAAAATGTTTAAAAGGGATGTGGGAAAACAGAAAGGGCCACAGAGCAGACTGATCCTCTAGGGCTAAGGTCCCTGAACTCTTTAACCTGGAGAAAATGAAGATACATGCTAGTCAACGGCCTCCTCCCATGTGAAAAATTATGAAGAGCCACCTTCCACCTCAATAACAAACAGATACAAGTCTTGGGACACAAGTATCCCTATCAAGAAAGATCACTTTAAATACCATAGGAACAAATACCTAGTTAACCTTGTTGTTCAAAAATAGCCTCCCTATAGATAGGATATTAACTGTATCTAAAATTTCTATAACTTATGTCTGTGGCTCTTCTTTGAAAAAAAAAAATCTGAAAAATGGAATATTAGAGCCAGTGAAAATTTCACAGAATGCTTGGCCTACCAGGATGGCACAAAATACCTATTGAGCAAGGAGGACATTGCTTTCTCCTTTAAAATTGGGTAGGAAAGTAACTGCCTTCTAATGTGGTTTGAACCATTCTTACTCTGCTGAAGTCAGAGTAAAGAAAGAATAAGAGTTGGGTCTTGAAACTTGGAAAGAAGATTCTGTGCTATTTTCTTCTCTTTGGCAGGTCAAGGCACCAATTTCTATTATATATTTTCACACCTTCTAGTGAAACTATTTCTGTAACCCTCCAAAGACTGTGAGTTCCCTGAGTGCAGTCTTCTTTGTGTCTACTTGGCACATCTTGCAAAGGTTGGCATAGCTCAGACAGGGTGAGATGGGTGGAAAATGGACAGACAAAAGCATCTTTTGCCTCTAACTTGTCTGGAAGTTTTACTCTCCATAACAGCCCTGGTTAAGATGTAACTCAAAGAATAAAAACTAAGATAGTAGGTTTTTCTTTGGTGGGATAGGTCAGTTCTATATCCTGATTGTGATGGTGATTATCCAAAGGTAAATATGTGATAACAGGCCAGGTGCAGTGGCTCACACCTGCAATCCTAGCTCTCTGGGAGGCCAAGGCGGGAGGATTGCTCAAGGTCAGGAGTTCGAAACCAGCCTGAGTGAGACCCCGTCTCTACTAAAAATAGAAAGAAATTAATTGGCCAACTAAAAATATATATAGAGAGAAAAAATTAGCCGTGCATGGTGGTGCATGCCTGTAGTCCCAGCTACTTGGGAGGCTGAGGCAGAAGGATTGTTTGAGCCCAGGAGTTTGAAGTTGCTGTGAGCTAGGCAACTCTAGCCTGGGCAAAACAGTGAGACTCTGTCTCAAAAAAAAAAAAAAAAATGTGATAACATTTCATGGAACTACACACACAACAACACACAAATGAGTGCACATAAAGTCTAGTGGAACATGAACAAAATCTGTAGTTTAGTTAATACTGTTGGGCCAATGTCAATTTCCTAGATTTGTTATATTATGGTTATCACTGAGTGAAGGGTACCCAGGACACTATATACTCTTCTTTACAACCTCTATGAGAGTGTAAAATTATTTTAAAGGTTTTAAAAAGACTAATGAATGGAAAGTAGAAAATTCCAACAAGTCAAAGGACATCAATCATCAGGTTGAACTGTGAGTTCTAGCAATTAAGGATTTGTGAGAAAAAGATCAAATTGTACTGTTCCCCCTCAATGATTACCCCCTAGATTGGTGATGATCAATGGAAATAATGCAAGGCACCTGTGTAATGTTTAAATTTTCTAGTAGGTAGGTAAAGAAAAGATAAAAAGAAATAGGTAAAACTAACTTTAATGTTTTTTTTTTTAATTTAACCTAGTAGATCTACAATATTATCATTTCAGCATGGAACCAATATAAAAATGCTAATTAAATATATTTTATATTAAGTCTTTGAAATATGGCAGGTATTTTATCTCATTCTTACAGCTCATTTCAATCCTGACCAGCTACATTTCAAGCACTCAATTGCCACATGTGGCCAGTGGCTACCATACTAGACATATCTCAGACCTAGATATCACCTTTAAGTTGCTGTTAAATGTCACCTTGTGCTATTTTCACAATTGTACCTTTTCATTTCCTTTGAATGAATTGCATATCTCCAGCAATTCACGCCTAATTTTTGATGGGAAGATATAGCACCTGAATATAATATATCCAAAGCTCTCTACCAACGAGCTTCCAGATATAAGCTTAATTAACCTTTTGCACTCAAATGTCGAGTGTGACTTGACATGGTTAGCAAAAATTATAGAGATTAAAATTACTCTTTGAATGTATCAATAATTTGAAATATTAAAAAAATCCAAATAAATAAGTTTGTATGAAAAGAAACTCCAGTTTTTTATTCTACTGCTGTGCTTTGTAAAATCTGGGATATTTAAAAAATTAAATCCCGAGTATAATAAAGGAATCGAGAAAAAAGCAAGCAAGTGCAAAGGGTTAAAAAAAAGCACATCACAGTTCAACTTGAAAAACTTCTTTGAAGACTTTTACACATTGTGACATATGCCTGGGGATCGCAGCGAATCCTTTCTATCCAGATAAAATGGAGATAGAGTCTCATCAGTTTTAAAGAGTTTGGGTATGGACACAGGAGTGTTTGAGACCTTTCCTGTACCCTTCTGATAAGTTGCATTAAAAACAGAGTATCAGTTAAACAACTACAAGAACACTTGAAGCGACTGCAGAAGGAAGTCTTTGTCCTCTGATATTCCAGTTCTCCACCTCTTTCTATACACATGGTGCCTTTGCACACTCACCCCCCTCCTTGGCCATGAGACTTGCTTTGGCCAGCGGAATGTGAGCAGTGTTGGCAGATGTCACCTGTGAGCAGCACAGGTCAGCATGCCCCTCTCTCCCTCTGTCACAACATCCAGACACGCAGACTGCTCTGTCTGCCCAGGTGGCCCAAGTGAGATCCCCATCTAACAGCGCTCTCCAAGCAACCAGTGATGGAAATGCAGTTTGAGCAAGAAATAAACCTTTGTTGTTCTAAGCCCCAGAGATTCTGAGGTTGTTTGTTATTATGGCATAACTTAGTCTGTCCTAACACATAATTCCATTGTTGAATCTGTACATGTGACATCAACTATTCGATCCAGAATATCTCCCTGAACAGGAGGGCTTATCGGATCTGCTATATAACCCAGGCTTGGTTGTACGGTGGTTTCATTACCATCCATAAAAACTCTAACAGTGGAACTATATAAACAAACCGAACAGTGTTTTTACTGTAAAACATGAATGTAATATAAATATTTGTCTTTGCCTTCTCTCAGCATCTGTAATGAGAGCAGAAAATTCATGCCATATGTTTATAGTATAAGCGGGGGTAAAAAAATAGATCTCAACAATTCATCCGTGTGGGTGCCAAATAAGCTGTTTAATATTTTTAATTCATCTATTTTCTTTCACATATAAAATTCTCCACAAATAGTAAAACACTTACAATTGTCAGTGACTAAATTCACGATTATTTCTACAGAGGGGGCCTTGCTAAGGCGAATGTGGACATGGTGATAATGAAGTCAATTTCTCTGTCATGATGAGAAACCACCAAGTGAATCACTATATTAAGACCCTTGCCTGTCCCAGCCCAGCACCGCTTGACAAATCTGAATATAAAACCGCTTTTCTGAAGACTTCAAAAGACCTATCCTACCTCTGTTTGGAAGTGTCACTGAACATGTGGGATCCTGACAGCTCCTACTTTTTTTTTTTTAATCCTCATATGGAGAAGCACTGAGCATGTTAAGTAGATTCTGCCTTCTTAGGACCCTCTGATAGGGTAGAGGAAGCGTTATCGCTAGCACCGAGGTCTGTGCCAAGCACAGACTCCAGCCTCACACGCAGAGAGCAACGGGGGATGTTTTTATTTCGAAGGCTGTGATTGAGCCCTTGATGTGAAGTTGCTGAAGCCTGCCCAAAGTGTTTGTGCAGGCTTTTAGGATGCGAGCCGAAAGGCACAGAGAATGATTCAATTTTCTCCAAATTGGCTCACGGACCAGAGGTTTCTGGAAACTGTCACCGTCCTACAAAATCCAATACCACAGCAAGGAAGCTTTGTTTGAACAGGAAGCAAATCTACCCAGAGCAGGCTCTGTCTGGCACAGAGGAGACAAGCCCCTTGTGGGTGCAAGAGTTGTTGACAGAGAGAGGTGGGGGCACCTTGATGGGTTAAAACCCAAGATATGCAAGGCATGAAAAGCTAACATCAGAAGCTTTCAGCTCGGTGAGCAGCACTTGGCAGGTGTTACCAAGAGTGTGCCACTAGCCGAGCATCGTTATCTCATTTAATACTGACAAGCATCCCATGGCGCAGGGATGCAATATCCCCATTTCCTGTAGGAAGATAGAGACGCCCATGGAGGATCACCTTGTCTGAGATCACAACACTGCCACTGAGTGGCAGAGCCAGGATTCCAACCTAGATTGGTCTGATTCCAAAATCCATGTGCTCAGCCACTAACTAGGCTGCCAAAGCCAAAGAAAACCTTTTGCACTCGTGACCACCTGGTCCTACACCACCTAACAGTGATGAGCAACACAGGCATTGTGTCTGCCCCTGCACAAGTGTTAGAGCCCAGGCCGTAAACCAGGCCTCACTCCCACTCCCACACACACACTCCCACACATGCTTAGTGGTGTGGTTGATATTATTAGTATTAATTTACATGTCTGTAGCCACACTTAGACTCCTGGAGGGCAAGGACAATGTCTCATGTATCTATATATGCTCAGAGTCCAGTGGTACACCTGGTATAGAATAGTGTCAATAAATGTTTGTTGACTAAATAAAGAGACCAATGGGCAATCAATTAATGCATAATGTGATCACTGCTGTGATAGATGCATATTTAAAAACTAAATCTCAGACTGCATGCTCCTTGGAGGCAGGAACCTTCGGTTTGTCATTGCCATGCCACTAGTGCTTAATGCCATACTTGACCCAGAGAAAGGGGTTGACGTTATTTACTGAACAAAGGGAGGGAGGGAGGGCAGGAGAGAAGGAAAGCTTTGTGGGAAAGAAACCCAGGAGCAGAGACTCACAGGATACAGAGGCAGATGTTAGAAGAACAAGCTTGGCTGAGGTCCTTCTAAGCAGAGGAAACATTCCATGCCAAGACACAGAGAGATGGGAAGGTTTAGGAATAGCAGAGAGTTTGATATGGTTTGAGCAAGGAAGAAAATGGTCAGAGATGAGCCTAGATAGGTGGGCAGGAGGCCAGACCACACAGGGACTCCAGGCAATTTGTTTATCATCTTTGTTAGCACTTCATAGCACACGCTAGGTACCTGAGTACTAGTCTCAGTACTCAAGTACCATCCTAAGCATTTTACATAAAAGACTTCAGTTAATCTTCATAACAACTTTGTGATTTAGGTACTATTATATCATCCGCATGTTACAGAGGAGAAAAGTGAGGCAGCTGGTTTGTTTAAGTGGCAGAAACAGGATTCAAACTCAGCCATCAAATCCCGAGTCCGGTCACTTAAACCCACGTACCATATTTTACAGCTTAATCTTTTCAGACTGATGAAGTCAGCAAGTTTTTGCAGCCCTTCCCAAGACAGAGCCTAGTGCTGACCTGGGACACGCTGATGCTAAATGAATCCTTTCCAAGACCCAGCATACTGATAAGGTGGGCTATTCATTCTTCTCAAATAAAGACTTTATATACCCCCAGTTTGTCCACTTATAGATTTAAAATATATACTATCTTTTTAAAAAATCTATATTTAATTATACAGCATCAGTGAAATTTCACTTGGGGAATGATAATCTAACATAAATGAATGCTTCCAATAGAAAAAGCTATAATTTAAAATAAATTACTGTTTTAGTCAGAAAAAAAATTTTACTCTCTTTACAGGAAGGAAAAAAAATATTATCTGGTGTTAGGTAGCCCCAGTCAATTAGAAAATTGCATCACTAGCAAAGAACCAAATAACCACCCTAAATTCCTCCTCTCCCCGTGTAGGTGTCACCGTTGATCTCAGCCACACAGTGTACTGCCCTGCCCGCTCTGGCCTGAGTTTCATTAAGGCTT